CTAATTCTTGTTTTTTTAATAGTCAAAAGGTCCCTTGACCTCAACGTTGCATATGCCCAAAGTGAACTACAACTTTGTGGTCTGGCTTCAGCAGCCACTGCATTTCAGCGCAACTGAGCCTCTACTAATGTGAAATGAATAGAAGCCAAGAGCAACTGTCTCTAAATTTGGCCAAATCTTTCTACACATAGAACAAAATTCTGATTTGATTTTAGGCTGCTTAAAGATATCCCTTTGCTAAACTGTGTAACATATAACCCCTATATTTTTTTCCAGTAACATAAAAGACAAAATTTTGCTTTTTGTCATTTCTTTGTTTCTATTTAAGCCAGTAAAATCTAAAAACAACCATCACATCATGACATAAACGGAATTATTGTTGTAAACCTTTTTTGAAAAACCAAGACCTGCTGATGACAGCCTAATTGTGGTCTATATGCTCTCACACATACATCCTACGGACAGGGCTTCTAGTGGCCTCTAGTGGTTTGTGTATGATGTTACTATGATGCTACATTTCATCAACAGATTCAATGGACCCTGAAGACAGCTGTGTCCCAAATCCACACTGCATACTAATTCCAGACAGTATACATACTAATTGTCATAGTATACTGTTTTAGCAGTTAGAAATATCAACATATTTTACCATTTTATACTCACTGGGAATTATACTTGTGACATCAGATGTGATTCTGAAACTTTGGCAGAAAAGACACAGCAAATTGATTTTCACAAAGAGACATCAAAATGTTTTCCAACATCTTTCTGAAGCTGTTTCACAACCATGCTCAACCTATTTACATTTGCATTGCATTGCATTATGGGAGTGTGCTATCCATCAACAGCACACTCAAAAGTCGACTGCATTTAGTTTACACGCTTTCTGCTTTTTTTTTGCTATTTTTGTGAACACACTAAAAGCCTGCTTAGAAATAGATTAGGACATTGTTTTATAAAGAGAGTGATGCAAGATTACACATTTCAAATATGCCTTCAATTATGGATGTGTACACGCTGACCTAAAGAATTCAAATAGTACATAAAAGTGCTTCTTCGTTCATGGACTTAGTCACCAAAAATAAAATTTTAGTGGTGAAATATTTGTCAGACAGAAACATAGCTTCATACATATGATATCACATTATATTCCAAATGAAAACGGACATGGGCTCCTGTTTGATTCCTAAAACACAAAACAACAAAGCTTTTTAATAGCCATCCATCAAGAAAAACTTCTTCTTAAACTTACTTAAACTAGGCCTTAAATTATCGTGTAATGAGCAATAAAATATTAAATGGACTTTGTGTTGAATCTCACCTAAATCACAAACAAGGCTTTTCTCTTTAGGAAGGACATTAAAGCCACATATTTATATAGCTAATGGTAATGTGCTGGGATGTAACTGTGCACACAGCTATCTTTGACCTAAGGCACAACATTAAATGAACCAGTATGTTCATAATTTGGGTTTAAAAAAACATCAACAGAATAACTTAAATCCCCCCAAAATGGTATTCAAAGCAAAAACTTTAGGCTTTATTTTGCACCTCCTAGAAAAACTATCATGCACCCAGTAAAGAGCTCACTGTGGATTTACTACCCGTTTTTGAAATATTAAGAAAATGAATGCTATGCACCTTCATTAGAATTTAAGTAAATGTTTGCATAATCTTGTGTTGTCCTCCGAGTTGTTCATTGAGCTCACGGTCACTCTCGTCTGCTCTCTGAAATGTTTGTGTGACCTTTTCCAAGCTACGAGGACTGTGGGTCATCTTGGGCTTTGCCAAAATTTGCTTTCGTCCCCAAAAAATGAAGAAAACGCTGTTTTATATAAATAAGTCAGGGCAAATTGATCTAATTGATAATGATTATCCAAATGTAAAATATTAGTTAAATATCAGACTTTCCTATAATGAGACAAATTCTGCTTTGTGGGTAAGACGTGATCAGGCCAATAAGAGGAAACGGAGGATTGGGAAGGCTTTGGGAAATAAGCCTCTGACAAGTTCTGCAATTGCAGTGGATGTATGCAGTACTAATCTCTGTTCAGCTTTGGTTCACCCCAGCACTATAAAACACCCTACAGAGCTCAGGTCATATAATTCTCCTAAAAAAATCCCTCCCTGGGACCCAGAACATGAGTTTAATAGTTATTCTTATTAGCTTGTACAACTGCTGGGAGCCTGCAAAATAAAATAGCTGTTTTTCTGTTGATCTGTTTACGCTCGCCTGAGGAACTTTACAACCAAAAGAGCCAAGCAAAAAAAAAAACCTTTCTCTCTCTCCCTCACAGCCAAAGTGGACTTATTATGTTACTGATGGCAGAATTCCCAGTGTGGAATTAGGACTTTGAGCTCCGATAACGTTCCTGAATCCCAGCATGGCACTGCTTTTACTGGTGGTGGTCACACACTGCTTTCTGTCTTGCCCTGAGCCAAACCAGCCGAGGAATTAGTCATTAATAGGGGGACAACTTCAGGCAGCTACTGTTTCCCATACTGATGAAGAAAGAATATAATTGTACAATGATCTTTGTGATGTGGGGGGTTCAGAAATGTTTCCCTCTGTGTTTTTGAGTGTGTGTGTGTGGTAGGTGAATGTTCTTAATCATATCTCTGCCCCTTTTGAGATATTTTGCATTAGTTTATGTGTGCCTTGGTTCCTGTCTGTCTGTTCCCCTGTCTCACACTGCTTCTATACCAGAAGAGACACCAGCTTTAGCTTTCAGTAACCTCCTTGCCCATTAAAAGCTTCCCTTCGTACCTCTTGTTCCTCGCCATTAGCAGTGTAGCCTCTGTGCCCCTATGTTGCCATGGTAAAACAATAGAGTGCAAATCTTCCAATCTCCTTAATGTTCACTAATCTAATGAGTGCGGTGGGGATATTAAGCAGATTGCTGAGCATTACGTTTTACCATTAGAGACACAGCCACTAGCAATTTCAGCACTTTTGGGCTGTTTTCCTCGAAAGCCCCCCCAAAAAATCTGATTTTACCGTTATTTCTCCAGTTTGATCCTATCGGCCTGCTGCGTCTTGGGTAGATTATGATTTGGCATAATGGAGAGTGTGGTTACTGCTGAGTGTGGGAGAAAGTGAGTGGGAGTATGTGTGACCGTACGTGTGTGTGTGTGTGTGTGTGTGTGTGTGTGTGTGTGTGTGTTTGTTTGACAGTGAGAGAGAAAGAAAATGGCATAATAACAAGCCAAGTTAATAAAGGGAAACAATTAGGACATAAAGGATTGACATGGCCCACAGATTTTAATGTTCTTGTCTGTCCTAATGAAATCCCCTCGACTATATCTGCTTCACACACACATACACACACACACCCACACACACACACACACACACACACACACACACACACACACACACACATATATAGATATGTACACACTCATTATAGTGGTCTCATTGCTTCCCTCAGGCTCTCTTGCCAGGTGTGGCTCCCACACACAGCCACACACAGATAAACATTCGCAAACACACACTCTCAGTCACACACGCAAACCAGGCCCTACAGGGCATTTTCCCTATCCTGGGACTGCACAATGGGCACTTTGTACACTCCCCCCACACCCCCAACTCCCCACCCCAGCCCTTACCATCAACCCCCCACCGGCTTCCAGCACATCCCTCTTTAAATGGGAGATTATGCAAATGAGCTCACACCACTGCGGCTCCCCACATATAAGTGATGTGCATTCAGTGAAATCTATAGTCTGTTTATGGGAGCATGTATGGGAGTCAGCACATGAATGTTTCTACTCACTGAGAGATGGATGTGGCCTTAATACACAGTCGACAACGTCCCAGGTGTTTGAACCATAGAATATTTCTCCTGACAATCACAAGCTGCAGCGATTTATTGCTCCTTCATGTTCTGCCTTTTTCTAAACTTCAAATACATATATATATTGCATATTTCTGCTTATGCCACAAAAAATATTCCTTAAGCTTGCAGGCTGATCTCTAGACTCACGACTGAGGAAATAAAAGAAATTTCTCTGATCTGCAGCAGCTGTGAGTGGACTGAGTGGAAAAGCACTTACAACATGGTGCTCGGAGCAAATTAATTGAACAAGAAGTCAAAAATGTATCATAGCCAAAAGACTATTATTGGTCTTAGAAGTGTTCAGATCCTTTAATGAAGTAAAAGTAGGAACACCACACCATACAAATACTTCATTACAAGTAAAAGTCCTGCATTAAAAATATTTCTTAGATAAAAATAGGCCACAGAAGTAGCCCCATTATTGTCAAAATATATTAAACTAAACCTATCACAAGTAAAAGTACTCATTAAGCAGATAAAAGCCTACGTCAATTATTATGGTACTGGATCATTATTATTGATCAGTTAAGATGTAAATGCTACTGGTTGAGATGGAACCCACTTAATTACTTCATATAGTAGTTAATTCTATGATAATACATCATATTTTATAAGCTGAACATTTGTTTTGCATGTAAAATTTGAATCCAAAAAATATAAGAAGTATAGCAGCTAATTGAAGGAAGTTTACAATATTTCCCTGTGAAATGTAGTGGAGTTGAAGTAGAAAGTAGTAAGATCAATACAAACACAGTTATTTAAGTAAAAGAAAATATAAATATAAGCACTAAAATGTACTTAAAGTATAACAAAAAACATACTCCTTAAGCAGAAAAATTGCTCCTGTCAGTTTTATATATTTATGAATCATATTATTGGATTATGATGAGTGATGCATTGAGGTACAGATCTAATTTGAATGTACATTCTACTAATGTATTTTATAAGCTCATATAAAGCGTTCATTTGCAATTTCATTTTGCAACTACAGCTGTTAAATAAATGTATTGGAGTATGATGAATACTCAAGTAAATACAAGTACCTCAACAAAGAACCTGAGTTAATGTATACTTAGTTAAATTCCACTAATTAATGAATTAATTATTTTGTTATTTACCAGGGACAAGGCACATTAATCAACATGGCAGTTTACACTTCAA